GAGTGGAGTTCACTCAAGTCCAAAATGGAGGGAAAATCTGAATCATGCAAAGTACTGACCAAAAGAACAGGAGATAGTCAAGGATCTCAGGATGCACACACATTTGTGTCCAATAGCATCCTATGAGATACTCAGATGAATACATGGCTGTCCAGTCCTGCTAAGCTTCTGGTGGGAATGGCTTATGCAAGATCAGAGGGCCTCAGGCTCAGTGGGACCCTGTGCTTGTTTTAATGCTCTGTTTGTTTCTCAGACACAGGGTACTCTGCTGAAGAGGGGGTGGCTTGAACTAATTCAGTAGGCGTTTGGTTTCTCATTCTCCTTGTGGGTCATGTCAGAGACATGCTGCTTTCTTGTTGTGGAACTAGCCTCGTGTTTTACCCACTGTGCAGTATGCAAATCATTGTGAAAATGAGTTGTGTGGAGACAGAAGACTTTGATTTCAAATTTGCCTCCATCGGAATAGCATTTAGGGGTATTTATGCAATAAAAAGTTCAGCATTTCAGTTATTAGGAAGGACCACCGAAAGTGAGGGGGACTTAATTAACTCATGGTTTCTTGCACCCTTTAGAAAAACTCCATAAAGGGGACTGAGCAATATCCCCAAATGTGCTATATTTGGGTTGAAAATGTTAAAAGATACAGAATACACTTTTCACTTTTGTAGTGATAAGGCATATAAGCTAGAAAAAATGGCACTCACTTTAGAAAGGATGTTTGAACTTGTAGGTAAGACCTATCAATTAAACTAGAGCAGAGACTAGAGGTGTGGCTCAGTAGCAGAGCAAGTGCTTAGCATGAGTGAGGTCTCAGGCTCAATCTTCATCACCAATAGACTACATCAATGAATAATAAACAAGAATAAATTGTGAACAGATGTGATAAAGCCCTGACATAAAATGGTGAAGTGCGCCATAATTCTTAGAACCAAAACATTAATTGCTTTGATTTTCTTTCATAAGGTGTTCTCACCTCCTTGACGGCCTCTGACAGTGCGGCAGAAATTTGTGATACTCTGCATTCATCCTAGATTCCAGCTGGTTTTGACTGAGTCCAGATACTTTAATTTAGAAGGGATGTGAGAAGGGGTCACCGTCCTCTGCTCATTTCATGCTTTTTCTTCTCTTTTTTATGGTGACTGTTATCTATTACATTATTTCAAGAATAGTTATTTGTTCTTTATTGTCTGCCGGGCAAGGGGAGTTTCAGAGGCTCCCCCTTGGTCCTGCTTATAATAATGTTCCTTACTGTACAGGGCAAAAGTAATCTGAGAGTGTTACCACCTGCCAATCTGTGCATTTCAATTACACATTCAAGATTAGGTAAATAACTACAAGTACATGGACATGAATCAAAGTTCTAGGGTGTATCTGACACTCAGGAACTCTACCCCAGGCCATGGACCACAGGGTCTCTTTAGGGGCATAGGTATTAGAGTCAGCACAGGTTTGTTCTATACTTGAAAGTCCCAGAGAATGTGGTTATGCGCTCTTTCTTTCTGGTCACTGTTATCTGTTATATGGCTACAGGTCTTCGCTTAACACCACACAAATATATCCTGATGATTTTCACAGAGCATTTTCAGGGTCATTCTCAAAAAGACATAGATGTCCGTCAATCAATGGAATGTGTTTTATAGAATTGGTTCAATGCTAAGAATGAGTGTGAGGATTTGGTTTTTCTCTTCAAAGACTAAGTCAGTTATCAACTGTTCTGATATCTTTTCTCTTCATTTATAATATTTATCAGACTTCAAAGCTTGTTCTACTGATCTCTATGAAACTATTCCATAGGCTGCTACTCCCACTGCTTCTCTGAATCTGACCATTTTAAGATCATCTGTGAATCTATGCTGTCCATACTCGATCTTAATCTTGCGTGGCCATTCAGTAGCAATGGGGCAAACTCATTTGTTTTCAAGGACTCCATCTCTCCTGGTTGATGTCCTTGACCACTGAGCACCAGTGGGTATTACTTTTTTGATAGTAATTCCTCCTCAACCTAAACAGATATATTTCTGAGAGACCCGGGGTTCAATCTTCTTTTTAATTAGCTATGCTGACCTTGATCCTGCTCTCACACAACTTCTTTACTAAGAGTGGTGCTAACAGTTTCTCCGGAGATGTACAAGGTCAATTGCTTGAATCTGTCTGTCTGTTATCTCTCTCTCATCTACCTCTCTCTTGATCTGTCACCCATTTCACATTGTAGAACACACTCTTTTCTTTCAAATGTGACAGATACCTTTAGAAATAACACTACCAAAACCTGAAGGAGAAGAAGGGAGCTCCAATAATGCTTTTGCTTGAATTTCCACTAAGTTACATTGGTTGTGGTCCAGAATTTTATTTTGTTTTATTTATAATAAAATTATATGTGTGCTTGGCTTTATAGGCAAACAGTTATTATTACAGTCATAATGATCAAGTAGAGAGATTTGTAGAATTATGTTTGATTAACCCATTTCAATTGTTTGCTTTTGGCACAGTGTGTATTTAAAGCTTGTTCAAAATGTAAAAGATGAAATGAAATTTATTAGCTTCATTAAATATATCTAAACACAGCATTGACTATGGAATGGATAAAGGCACTGCTTCACTATCAGGAATGGATTTGTTATTTTCCTTTCTGGATGTAATTTTGGGAAATTATCCTTATCATTCTCACCTTGTATGAAAAAAATGTCTTCCCTAGGAAATGTAACCCATGTGGAAAACTAAGGTGGCTCCAATGCAGAGTGAAAGGCGCAGTGGTGGGGCTCAAGAAGAGCACCTCAGGGTGAGTATAGCCCTCGCTGGGGACTCAAGCTTTGTTTTTTAAAAGCCCATGAAGTTCCAGTGTCAGCAGCCACATGGTCATGCATTTATCTTTGCCTTCTTTTCATAGCTCATCTTTGACACCTGAACTGAGCAAGCTAAAGGATCTTCTTGCTTTTACACTGATGGGTATGCTTTTCTTTTTTCCTTAAGAATTTTACTCAGGTGTTCATGTTGTTTTATTTATTTATTTTTTGTTGTTGTTCAGTTTATCTCTCTCCTATTCACATGGCATTGATGAGAATTTTCATGATATTTTGGATTCATTTTCTTTTATAATTTTTATGACATATTGGATTGCTTCAGAGAATTCAAGTTGTGTTGAAAAAATTCTACATTCATTCTTATATAGAGAGTACATGAACCATATTCACCTTCTTAACTTCTTTTACCTTCTCCCTCTCGTATGTGATATTCCCTTAAAGTGACCTATTTTTCGTAGTATTGCTGTTTTTGTATTAGGTCTATATTCTACAAATAAGAGAAAACATGCTGCTTTTGGCCTTGTGAACCTGGCTACCTTCACTTAAGATGATGTTCTCCAGTTCCATGCATTTCCCTGCAAATGACAAAATTTCATTCTTCTTTGTGGCTGAATAAAATTCCATTGTGTATAAATACTATATCTTCTTAATCCATTCGTCATTAGTGAGGCATCTTGTCTGTTTCCACAGCTTGACTATTATGAATAATGTGCAATAAACATGGGTGTACAGGTGCCTTTGTTGTAACCTGACTTACATTCCTTTGGGCATATCCCTAGGAGTAGAACTGCTGGGTCATATTTTTAGTTTTTGAGAAGCCTCCATACTGTTTTCATAGTGGGTGTACTAGCTTACATTCTCACCAAACAGTGTATGAGGGTTCCTTTCCCCCACATTCTTGGCAACATTTGTTGTTAGTGTTCTTGATGGTAGCCAGGTGTGTTGAGTATTCAAACCAGAATACCTAGTGTATTTCTCTGCCATCTGTAATTTATAATATATGTTTTTCTCTTCTTTTTGGCAGCATTTACAGTATGACTTTCTTTGATTCTTTGTCTACTCTTTATCTATGGAAGAAGAATGATTCTGTCATGCTGCTTATTCTCCATCTTGACCAGAAAGTAGCATCCTTCATCTGTCTTGGTGGCCATAGTGACAATCATGGACCAGATGTTTGTGTGAGGTGAGGAGAGACAGATAAAATATGAGCATCTGCCATGGTAATGGAGGACTCAGTTCTACTGGAGAAGGGTGAGGATTTTTGCTGTGTGGAGGAACTCATTCCCCTCTATGACTGCTTCTTGGGACCACAATTAGATTTCCACTACTTTACATGTGCCATGACAAAATTGTCCCAACTTTCCTGTATATTTACATTTAATCTTATACAATGTTAGTTTTGAAGCATTTTTAAAACAATGTCTTAAGAACTCTTATGGTAGTAGGTGTAAGCTAGGTGCATATTAAATTTTGAATCAGTGAAAAAACAGAATTATTGGAGTAGAAAGAGAAGGGAAATAGGTATCAAAATGTGTGAATATACATGTTTTTATGTATCAGAGCACTTATAAAAAACAAAATATTAAATAAATATTATTGTCAGTATCCAGCTTTATATGAATAATGACCTCAGGAAGACTATTAGAAAACTATGATTCTTTGTAGGAAGAGTTTTGGACAATGTCTGCATGGGTATATATATAAAACTTTGAAATTTTTATAAATCCTCTGTGTTACTAAGTATCATATTCCAGTTTGCATTCTTGTTGCCTGTCCGGTGTGCTACAATTTTATAATGGTACATGTCCCAAAGGCAAGTGGCTAGATTAAAATATGTAGACAAAAGAAAAAAAGCAAAGCAATGTGCAAATAAATGTCTTTATTTGCATATTAGCACATGAGAATTCAGTGTTCCTTCACTATCAGCTGCAAGACTCCAGGCTGCTCTGTGTAAGGTGCAGAGTGTTTGGATGAAACTCAGCTGGGCTGTGATAGAAAATACATGATTTCATGAAGAAAGCTGTGAATCAAGAAGTCATTAGAAGATCTTGGCTTTCCTGATTTTGCACTGGGTGCCTGGGATTTTAAAGGGAGAATCCTTTTGATTTCTAATCATCAAGAAAGACATAGCATTTTCAGCAACTATAGTAACAAAATCTCTGCAGTGTTAATAGACACTGTGGCATTCCCATACTGACAATGGGTGGTGTTCTACTGGGCATATTCATAGTCATCCTCAGTGTGGAATTCATAACTGGGAATGTAGTGAATGGATTCATAGCTCTGGTGAACTGCATGGACTGGGTCAAGAGAAGAAAGATGTCTTCAGTTGACCGAATCCTCACTGCTTTGGCCATCTCCAGAATTAGTCTGTTCTGGTCAGTAGCTATACATATATTATTGTTACTTACTCACCCAGGAAGATGACTGCAAAAATCATAAAAATAGCTAATACTGCCTGGGTTGTGACCAGTCATTTTAGCATCTGGCTGTCTACAGGCCTCAGCCTCTTTTACTTTCTCAAGATAGCCAATTTTTCTAATTCTATTTTCCTTTACTTGAAGTGGAGAGTTAAAAAGGTGGTTTCGGTGACATTGCTAGTGTCTCTGGTCCTCTTGTTTTTAAATACTGTTATGGTGATCACACATACTGATGTCTGGATTGATGGACATAAAAGAAATGGGACTCACTTTTCCAAATGGTGGAACTCTACACATCTTTGTAAATTTCTTTTACTCATCAACTGTACATTCACATTAATACCCTTTACTGTGTCCCTTACAGCCTTTCTCCTGCTAATCTTTTCCCTGTGGAGACACCTGAAGAGGATGCAGTACGGTGTGAAAGCATCCAGTGATGCCAGCACCATGGCTCATATGACAGCCTTACGAACTGGGATTGCCTTCCTCCTTCTGTACACTGTTTTCTTACTTTTTCTTTTTATACATGCTTGGAGCTATGACTTGTTGGAGAAACAGCTTATCATTTTTCTTAGCTTGGCTACTGGAATTGCTTTTCCTTCAGGCCACTCATTTGTCCTGATTCTAGGAAACTGCAAACTGAGACAGGCCTCTCTCTCTGTGCTGTGGTGGCTGAAGTGCAGATCCAAAGACGTGAAACCCTTGGTTTCCTAATAAATTTTAGTATCATTGTGCATATTTTAGAGGAAAATCAATTCAAAAGAAATTCCTTTATGCCATGAATTTGTACTTTCCCAATATTTTTCTGTAGTATTTATCATGATGAATTTTGTGAAAGGGTGTTTTGAATTAGCACTAAGCAAACAGATTACAACTTCAGCAATACATGTACAAGTATGTATGTTAATACACTTAATCACAGAAGGATATCAGCATGGACTACTTAAATACAAAAAATCTTTATTGTCATAAATATTATAAGATTTTGTGTCAATTATTAACATTTTCAAGATTTCAAAATAATAAGATGGATTGTGTATTTATTGATGTGACACATAAGTATTAAAATAGGACTTTATAATTTTATACATATAATTTTAAGGTAGATGTGCCTGAAGTTATAGATAATAAATGAGGAATAAAATAGAGATGTGGAAATCAGATACACTAATCCACCATTTCAAATGTAAAACTCAATTTACTTGTGATTTTTTTTTTTACAAATTCTTTAGAATCATGCAGTTGCTTTATTGCTATTCCACTATCTATATTACTAATGTCAGAGTCATGAATCCTGGAACATAGTTATCATTGTTGAGAATATGCATTTTACATTGAAAATACCCTATACTTCCTAAGTATATACCATAATAATTCAATTTTAACACACAAGAATAAGAAATCTTGACTGATGATAGTCTTCTAAGTGAATTTTACTGGAAATCATCAGTTCCACTAATTCCTTTCCAAAAAGGAAAGGAATGTCTTTTTCCTACACGTGTGGTCACTTATGAGTGACCAACACACAGTTAGCATGAATTTGGTTATGTTTATGTTTATATGTTTTAGTATTGCTTGCATTGAAAAAATTGAAGGTAAGTAAATAAACAAAACAAGATAAATTTAACAAAATAGTTGTAAAATATAAACTAAATTAAATTTAAATGATGGGGAAAAGGAGAGGAAAACGTAGTTGTGTGCCCTGCATTCAGTGCTAAATCTTCAGTTAGACAGACTTTTAACTATTTTCAGAACTGAGGAATTCTTTATTTGTGATGTAGTTCTAGAAAGAAATTCCTTCAAATGGTAGCTTGTGTTTGGTGTAAGCTTTTGTGTACTGTTAGTGTAGTTTATTTGTTCATAGGAAAAAATATATGCTGAACATCTTATCTAAGTGCCTTTGGGAACATTTTAAATAAGAAACACAAAGCATAATAAAAAGTGGGTATATGCAACAAGCCACTGAAAAGAGAAAGTTGAAGTGTGTATGTAGCTTGCTAACCTGTATACTTTGTAAATTTTAGTACTCTTGTATGGGTAATACTTTTTATTTTAAAGAAAGTGAGATCTTGAGATATTAAAAGATTTATTCAGAAGTCCATGAAGATGACAGCAATGAGCTAGTATAACTTCCATGAAAGGGAAATTGTCCCCCAAGTTCAGATGAAAGATCAAAGTTCAGATCATCCAGAATCTGGTGGATGAAAGAGGTCAGGGAGCATGCAACTTTGGGACTTCAGTTGGTTATTCTTAATTTTTCTAATATTTGTTCTCAGTTAATATGTACCGTGAACATACAGCTATTGTTTTTTTTTAAGTTGTTGAATTAAAAGCCATTTGCTTTATTATCATGTCTGCTTTGTGTTTTAAGCTCATTCTATGGTCCTTTGCAGAGATAAAATCCTGTAATTTGCATATAATTATTTATAAGGGTTATTTTACTTCTCCCTTATTATTATTTAGAAAAATTTACATAAATAAAATGGCTAACAAAGTGTGGTGACAACTGCTCACAAATAACCATAATACTGAGTTCAACTTTGTGATAAATACTTTAAAAATTATTTTCAAAGTGCCTCTTCTTATCTTTTTTTGGACAAAACCTGGCTAAAAGTATCAAATGTGTAGTGTTATTTATGAAGATAATTGCATATTTGCCTTTATTCTGAACAGTTAAATAAAATGATGATACACATTAATAGTGGTACATTTAGCAACTGCATAGCTTCTAGACTGTGCATTGTGTTTAACTGAAACTTCACGCACACATTCCCATTTGTGTATATTGTATTAAACTTGGAACCACCAGAGACAAAGTGAAATTCAGAAAATATCTACAAAGTAGTGAGAGGTGGTCTCTATGGAAGAATAAGCCAAATTAAAGTATGTGGAAAATCACACCAAAATTATGCATCCTGAGATTATTGATTCTTATTTTCAAAGGGCTGAGGAATAAACCATAATCTTGAATTTATGTCTCAAAGTATGTCTTGAAGATTGAATTGCTTAATATTATTTCCAAATAACACAATTGGTGTGAATATTTCTTATATTTCCTTTAGACACCAATTCACTAAAAATGCTGCAAATGGTTCAACTTCAGAATCTCTATGATGAACTGAATGTTTTTCTCTCCACCAAAACCAAACCAAGAAAAACAAAGCAAAACACATACATTGAATCCTTAACCCAGAACCTGACTGAATTGATGAAAAGGCATTTGGGAAAGTAAATAAGTTGTCACTGCTGTTTCTTCACTCTAGTAGTTGTTTTCTTGACTGTCAGAAGCTTCTTGGTTTGATGCATCACATTTATCAATTCTTCCTGTTATTTCCCGAGTTGTTGAATTACTAGACAAAAAGCCTTGCCTAAGCCTATCTTTTGAGTTATTTTTCCCATCTTCCACTCTAGTAGTTTCAAATTTTCAGGACTTAAACTGAGATCCAGTTTGAATTGATTTTTGACAAAGGTGAGAGATAGAGGTTTAGTTTTAGTCTTCTACATGTGGATATCCATTTTCCCTGCAACATTTGTTGAAGAGGCTGTCTTTATGCCAATGTATGTTTTGGCAACTTTGTAAGGAATGAGGTGGTGCTTAGCTGTACAGGCTTCTTTTTGGAACCTTTATTTTATTCTATTGGTATAAGTGTCTGTTTTTGTGACAATACATGCTTTTGTTATCATGGCTCTGAAGCATAATTTGAAGTCAGGTATGGTGTAACCCCTGTATTGCTCTTTTGCTCAGGATTGCTTTGGCTACTCAGTATCTTTTGTGCTTCCATATAAATTTTTAGATTGTGTTTCTATTTTTATGACGAATGTCATTGGAATTTTAGATTGCTTTTAGTAGTATAGCCAGTTTCCGATGTTAATTCTGCTGATTCATGGCCATGGGAGGTTTTCCCATCGTCCAGTGTTGTCTTCAGTTTCTTCAGTGTGTTATCATTTTAATTTTAGAGGTCTTTTTCTTCTTTGGATAAGTTTCTTCCTAGGTATTTTATTAATTTTTTGTGGTGTGAATGGGAATGTTTTCCTGATTTCTTTCTCAGGATATTTACTGTTGGTATGCAGGTAAAGCTTCTGAAGTTTATGTGTTGATTTTTGTCTGTTACTTTGCTGAATGTGTTTATCACATCTAAGAGTTTTCTGACCTCTGTTCTACTCAGATCTTTTTAATTTTTTTCTCTTGACTTGCCTTTCTGCCTATGACTTTAAGAATTACTCTGAATAAGAGTGGGATACCTGGGTACTCTTATCTCCTTTCTGACTTCATTTTTTCTCAATTTTGTACAATGTTGTCTTTTGAATTTCTATACTTTGAATTTCTCCCAGTTTTAATAAAAACACTGCTTACATAATGTGGGAAATCATTGTTTCAACATGAGGTAAGGGGAAAAGAATAAAGTGGATTCTAGCAAGAAGAGGCCTAGAAACATTTTCATAGTCCCAGAAAACAGGATCAGTTATTCTGAAAATATCAGGGTTTCCTGTACCTCTAAATTTTCCTTACTTTTGTTCCTACTTTCCTTGCTTCCCTAAAATTATAAGAATATCAGTTGAAGATTTACCAAAAACTAAAGTTTGCATTTATCTTAGAATTCCCAGGTACAAGGTAATTCTTCTATCTGGTGGCTGGAAGCATTCTTAGTAGGGGTTCTTGATGTGCCTCTGTTGTGCTCACTACACTCAAATTATGGTCTTCCTGATACTCAGAAAGAGAGATGACAAAGAATTTACATTCTTACTACTTTATTGATTTATTGAGGATACAGCCTTGACCATATTGTTCCAATGGCATAGTTTTCTGAAGAACATCTTCTTATTCATTTTCTGAAACAAAGAAGGAAGGAAGGCTATAGGGAATTCTTGATATGCGTGATGCTACTAAAGAAGACAGAGAGTATGAGGATTGAAGTCAAGGCCAACCAGGGCAAAAAAGCTTGGCTGATGTGCTGGCACTAATGCATGAGGCATAGGTAATGGGATTGAGGTCCTAAACAAAAAGCAAGACCATATGTGGAAAAAAATAACATAAAGAAGCAAAAAAAAAGCTGGTAGTGTACCTCAGGGGCAGAGTGGTTATATAGCAAGCACATGGCCTTGTGTTCAAACTCCAGAATCACCAAAAATAATAAATGAATAAATAAATATCAAAACAGACTTAAATATTAAATATGACATCAAGAATGGAAAAATGATCATATATATTTATATGTAAGCACTATTTCTAAGCGATTGGACAACAAAATTAATTGTAGTGACTAATGGGGAAGACAGAAGGAGGAATAATAAGATGTGCTTTCAAGATTTAGCTTCATGCCTTTCTGTTTAGGTAGAATCCTTTAAATGCTGAATCTGGCCTAATTTAAAAGTGTTAAAAACTAGAAAATGTTCACCCACATCATATGAGTTATCAAGTAGCAGGGATTCTGGATCTGAGAGTTCTGATTAGAGACAGCACTGAGCACAGAGAGATCAGGTGGAAATGGGTAGGGCAGCCCACTGAGTCTGAGCAAGGAGCAGAGCCCTGGCTCAGACACACAGTGCTAGCACATAGTGCTTCTTCCACAAAGTGACACACATGAAGACAGATGATCACTGTACAATGGAAAGTTGAGAGCAGTGAGTCACAAAGCAGAGTATCTAAATAGTAATAATGGAAATGGGATCCAAGACTACGCAATTTCAACAAGCTAAATTAGATTAATTTAGAT